TAATGACAAATTTGTCATTATTAACCTCTGGGATTAGCGGACTTCCCAATATGCACATCCCGTCCGCAAGTTTAAAGGCATCGCATCGAATGCGGAAAAAAGTTCCCGTGGTATATAAATGACTACGTGAATTCAAGCAGCCCCAGCACGTTTATAAATACATATATATACACGACGAGCTTTTTACAGTGTGCGTGAGTGATGGCGATGCAGGCGTTACTATATTTATAGCTGTGTAGCTCGCGAGCACGTACTGTGCCAGCCCTCTCATTCTCTCTTTTTTTTTCTCTCTCTCTCTCTCTCTCTCTCTCTGTCTCTCTCTCGCTCTCTCTCTCTGCCGCACGTACTGTGCCAGCCCTCTCCATCGCTCTATCTCGCTCTCTCTCTCACTCTCCCTTTCTCTTTCTCCTCTCTCCTTCTTTCTCTCTCTCACTATCACCCTCTCTCTATCTCTCTCGCTCTCGCTCTGTCTCTGTTTCTCTTTCTTTCTCTTCTTTTTTCTCCCCGTATTTCTCTTTCCCCCGCTCTCGCGTACTCCCCCTCTCTTTCGCTCTCTCTTCCTCTCTCCATGGACATGCCATGTTCTGAGGCAAAGAGTAAGATCAACATGCATATGTACCTACACCTACGACCTCTAGACAGCTAAGTCTACGCTGCCGAGTAAATAAACAGATGTTGACTATATTATATCAGATCTGTCATATCCTAGTATCGCACGCAAGGCGTCGTTGTCGCTAACACGCTACTAGCAGATAAATGTACCCCCGAGGTAGATTTTAGGTTGCTTTATATTATGTTTTATATTTTTGACATGAGTTATGTTTAGGTGCTAGGGTTCAGTGTTAGAGTTTAGGGTTGAGGGTTAGGGTTGGCGTAGTGTTAGTTTAGCCGGTACATTTCTGTAGCGACAAAGTCTAGTGACACTTTGGTGTTATCACATTATGTACGTCGAGGCGGTACATGATCTGTTAGCTACCTTTACGACGAACGCACCCTTGGCAAGCCCTAGTATCGTGAACCTTATAGTGTGTACTATGCTACTACAGCATGAACAGCAGAATCTATGGTGAGTTATTCGTGCGTAGGAGCCACAGCAGGATGTCAAGGAAGATCGAGGGTTGGTTGTGTCGATAGCAGATACGCGCGCACACAAATTAAACACAGGCACACACACACGCACACACACACACACACACAGCACACACGACACACACGACACACACAGGCACTACCACAGCAACCACACACACACACGCACGACACAACACCACACACAACCAAACAAGAGGAAGAGGGGGAAAGAGGGATTATGATGGAGAGAGAGTAGAGGAGAGGAGGACATAGCAAGAGAGGAGAGGAAGAGAGAGAGAGGGGGAGAGAGAAGAGAGGAGAGCAAGGAACGACAGAAGAGAGAAGGAGAAAGACAGAATGACGAGAGGTGACGAGAAAGACAGAAGAGAGAGGCGAGAGGAGAGAGAGGGGCACACACACACACCACACACATGGTAGTAGTAGTAGTAGTAGTAGTAGTAGTAGTAGTGACAGCAGCAACAACAGCAGCAACACAGCAACAGCAGCTGCAGCAACACAACACCAACAGCAGCAGCAGCAAAACAACACCACCAACAACAGCAGTCACATTACCTGCACGTATATTATGATATCCACACCGTGTGCGTGCACCCAGTACAGTTCGTTACTACGCTGTGACATCGGCCCCACGATCCCGACCGTCCCCACAGCAACATAGCAGCAACCGTGTGCAGGTGATGCTGTGAAGCGAGCAGGTGTGCGTGTGATTGTGTGTATCAATCACCTCACGTCGGATTAGGCGTGTGTAACAAGAAATGGGCAACGATTATTTTCGGGACGCGGTATTTTGGCACCATTTTAATTATCCGGGAACGGGGAAACACCGGACAAAATAGTTAAAATCGAGATTTTTAAGATGTAAACGAACTGGGAATCGCGATTTTCTTCGACTGGGAACAGGGACGAAGAATAGACCCTTCCCCCTATTTTCGCACTCTACTAGTTATTATATAGATGCTTCACTGGTCGGTTCATTAGAAGGTTAATTGCTGTTGCTACGAGCAACGGTGCGGTGTGAGTGACGCGTGACCCGTCGGAAGCCAAGATGCCGATGAAATTAATTGTTACTGTTGTCAGTAAACAGGGAAACCGCTGTCGGAAGCAGCGTAGCTCTACGACAGTCATAATTGGATACATTGCATAGCATACATAATTGCATATTACATTTATATTGCGTTTTGCACTGCACTGCATTAGATTGCATTGCATTATAATAAACATTGCATATTGCATACATAATTGGATCGT